TCTCTACGGGCCTGCATTTTGGCCCATGATAGCTTCCTCAATGGTACAGGGGTGGGTATTAAGGCGGTGGACTTGGGCTATGGGCCCTCTATTCTTTTTGTGGGCCGATTGTTTATAATAGGCATTGGACCAGGATCACTTGGGCTGCTTGGGTAGGCTGGAGTGGACCGCGGGCCCGAACTTGACCTAGGGTAAGACATAAAGGAGGGTCAATTTAATCTCTTAAAACAAGTAAGCCTTTCTTCTTGGTTTCATGCTAAGCTGAAAGTGCCGTGCAGTGAAATAGGTTGGAGGGATTTCACCTCTAGTTTGATTTTTTCTTTCAGGTCGCCGATGAAGTAGCTGCAATGACATCTCCGGCCAGCCTTGTACCCTCGTTGAAAGTTTCTCGAACTCGATCTGGTAATCTTTAACAGATCCAGTTTGTTTCAGCTTTGATAATATTTTATCACAACTGTCAAATCTGACGGGTCCAAATCGTATGCATAAAGGCTTTTGTGAAGTCAGCCCAAGATACCTAGCGATGTGATCGTCGGAACCATTGAAACCAGAGTATTTCCTCCTGCTTCTAAGGGGAATGAGGCAATGGTGACTCTTTGATAGCTAGGTATTTAATGGTATTCAGAACATTTCTCAGCCTTAAAAATCCAGAGTATGGGATCCTCACCTGAATAATTTGGGAAGTTAAGCTTTTTCTCATGGCAGCTCCGGTATCGTGTTGATTCCCTTCGGAGTCTCAACTATTTCCTTCTTGCTCGCTTTTGTGGTTTCCTTCAATCAAATTTTTCTCCAGTTGTGCCATGATCGCCACTAGAGAATGCTTAATCTCCTGTAAAATTTCCAATGACTTTATGCAGTTGCACTTCCATGCAATCAACCCTTGTCAACAGTTTCAGACCTGGTACTCGGCATCCTCTGTTCTTCAGGATTTCTTCAGAGCTCTGATACCAAATTGTTGGGGTTACTGCACAACACAGGCTTCCCTTTGAGGGTGAAGCTACCTCCTAAATCAAATTTGATGAGGGAAGGGGGAGAGAGAGAGAGAAAGAATTTGATGCAAGTCTTCTATTCCCTTCTTTCAGAGTACAGTCCTCTATTTATATTGTTCTCCTTCTTGTAATAGTCATGTGACATTATTACAGCTAACTAATCACTTGCTGCTTGGCTTCTTGGTTGGTTACATGTAACTGAATCTTGATTAGTTGCCAACTGTTGTCTCAGTGGCTGAGTTGGCTTCTTCCTCTTCTTTCTAGAATATACCTTCAGCCCATTTTCTGGGTCCCTAACAACAGACTGTACTTCCTCTAAGCCATTTTTATAATTCTATCAAAAACATCCAATCAACTGGATCATATGTTTTTTCAATGTCTGTCTAGTTTACAAATCACACCTTTTCAGAATTTTGTTAAAGAATTTCCATTGTCACATAGCAGAAAGCAATAAGAAATCTTTATGCAATAATGCATGGAGATGAATATTCCACATTTCTCTTAGATACCAAACTGACTGCTCTTCTTATTGGTTATTATGTTTATATTAAAGTCATACATGGTATTTCTTGTTGCTTATATATATATTTTTTTTGTTTTTGATAGTTCTGTAATTTCAGCTTATGAGATAACCTTGATGCATTAGGGCTGGAACAAACTATCAGAAGACAGAAATGAGAGAGGAAGAGAGAGAGAGAGAGAGAGAGTAGCAAGGGTAGAGAAAGAGAAAAGAAAGAGAAATCCCAAGGAATCGCTTCAAGGGGTCCTATAATCACTCTAGGGTTTGTAGGAATCACTCCATAGAGCAAACTTGCTCTAAAGAAATCTTCACTCATTCATTAGCTTCAAAAGGAAGAGAATACATTTATTTATATAGAGTGACTTGTGGCCCAGAATACTCTTCACCATAATTACAAAAATGCCACTCCTTGTCTTGTGCATCAAGAAACACAATAAGTTTCTATCTACTAATGCAAATAAACTGCAAATTAAAAGATAAGTCCTACTAAACTAGAGGACTAAGATGTTATAGCCCAGGCCCACATAGGACTAGCTAAAATGAAAAAAATACCCATACGGTCCAAATATACAAAAATACAGAAATTTTCAGAAAATTTCAAAAAATTCCAAACTTGATTCTTTAGCTCTTGCATTATTTCTCCCTTGGTTCCAAAAAATGAAGAACTTGAGGATGATAAGTTGATGCAGCATTTTAAAAGCACAAGGTGCAAGGGCCAATTTACACCTGAGGCGTGTGCCCTTTTAAGCAAGGCACAAAATTACAAACAAAAAAAAAGCTAAAAAATAAAAAAAAGTCAAATTTCAAGAAATGCCAAAAAATTTTAAAAAATGCAAAAAATATTCAAAAAATATTAAACATAATGTTAATGAAAAATATAAACTTAAATTTTAAAATAAAAGCAAACATATAAAGCATTTCCAAGCATGTAAAACCCACAATCTCTTTTTTTCCTTAATTGCATTAAGTAGCTAATGTGATGTAAAATATATTGCATTCTTGATTATATGAGTCACCTTTGTACCACGCCCCTTGAGGAGAATCCCCTATTTGCTAATGTTGTTCATTCATTAATTGCAATAAAATATCTTCTTAAAAGGCAATGAAAGTTATAAAATCATTATTTTTTATGTGAGAAAGAAGAATTTCAGACCCTAACATAGACTTGTTCGAGCTTACCTCGAGAGGTGTGGTTGGGGGTCCGAGGGCAGAGCCCCTCGGCCCAGCCGTTAGACTCAAAAAAAAAAAAACAAAAAGCACAAAATTTTAAAAAGGCGTACGCCTAGGCTGAAGCGCAAGGCGCATCAGGCACACGCCTAGGCACACCAAGCATGCGCCTTTTGAAAGGGGTGGGCCTAGGACCTGGGCGAGGCACATACCCCAAAATGCGCCTCACCAGTGCACCTAAGCACGCCTTTTAAATCACTGAGTTGATGTACCTCAATGACAAAAGGTGTAGTAATTCCATAGCTGCTTCAACACACTTGGACTGCAGAGTAGATGTCACAGACATAGTAGATATAAATGGATCTTGAAAGCAATGTATGTCTTAAATACTGCCTTCCATAACCTACATTGTTAAATCATCAATAACATTAGCTTCTTGAACACTTACATCACCAATCAACCTATCTTGTGGTGAATCTTCCCCTTGCTTATCACTATGAACTTTTTTTTGATAAATAGCTTATCACTATGAACTTTCATATCCAAAATCTCAACTGCAGCATTTGCAACTTTTCCTTCAACCTCTAGTTGAGAAATCACCATCTCTATGTGTTCAGCTACCCTTGGTTCTTCAACAAACTCTTGAACTTCTGCCATTATTGATGTTGGTGGGAGTTGTACCATGTCAACTTGTAATTCTTGAATTGGTCCCAATTGAACTTGTAAGGTAAAGTCACAACTTACTTCCTTACTAACATCTACTGCAACCAACACATATGCATCTTGCACCTGAATTTCTTCAACATGCTCCACTTCTATCTCTTCTTGATCATTAGCCTCAAGTTGACCATGGGTGTTGGAAGTTCCTTCTTCAACAATTCCAATCTTTTCTTGGCCCGCACCCTTTTGATCTTCAATGTCTACAACTTCTATAGGTTGAAATTCTTCATTCACAACTTTAGCTCTAGGATGGGCATCAAACATGCAAGAAATCTTCTTTATTTTCAACTTTGTACTTTCTTCTCATTGGCTTCAAATTCTTTGTTGTAACCAGATGCTTCTTCTCTACCTTGAGTCGATTCAAAGGCATGATCTAAATCATAAATCTGAATTGTAGACAATTCATTCTTGATATCATCCCTTAGTCCATTCATGAAACGAATTAAATTGTGTCATTCACTTTCTGTAATGTCACATCTAATATATAATTCATCAAACTTGTGGATTGAACTATAGATAGCATACCTTGCTTGAGATTACTCAACTCCACATTTAGATCATCAAGGAAGTATTGCGGAATGCACTTTTCTTGCAAATACCTCTTCATCTCTACCCATGTGGTAATAGGATATTCACCTCTATTTTCTAGTTGTTGCTCAAGAATTCTCCACCATACTTTAGCAATACCCGTGAGCTTCTCAGCTTCATGCGTGCAAATCTAAATCTTTGTTTTTCAGATATAATGCCAATCGAAATATTCTTCTAGTTTAGCAATCCAATCAAAGAATGCTTGCTGGTCTTCATCTACCTTGAAATTAGGCACTTCACTTTCTCTTCTAACATTCTTGAAAACCTTACTCCTATAGCCGACATTACTAGATCTACTTTCTTCCACCAAATTCTTAAGTAAATCAAGCATAGACCTTTCATATGGTTCAAAATCCCTATCATCATTGACTCTAGACCAATGAGATTGTTTAAATGATACCCTAGGCTTATAGAATTGGTTACTTTGTGAGAGCATATACCAAAACTGATGCAATAGGGCTGGGACAAACCATCAGCAGACAGAAATGAGAGAGGAAGAGAGAGAGAGAGAGAGAGAGATCCCAAGGAATCACTCCAAGGGCTCCTAGAATTACTCTAGGGTTTGTAGGAATCACTCCATACAGCAAAATTGCTCTAAAGAAATCTTCATTCATTCATTAGTTTCAAAAGGAAGAGAATACATCTGTTTATATAGAGTGACTTGTGGCCCGGAATACTGTTCACCATAATTACAGAAGTGCCACTCCTTGTCTTGTGCGTCAAGAAACACAATAACTTTCTATCTATTAATGCAAATAAACTGAAAATTGAAAGATAAGCCATACTAAGCTAGAGGAATAAGATGTTATAGCCCAGGCCCACACAGGACTATTTAAAATGACGAAAATACCCATACTGTCAAATATATAAAAATACAGAAATTTTCAAAAAATTCCTAATTTGATTCTTCAGCTCCTGCATTAAACCTGCTAAAACTTAATAACGATTAAAGATAAAAAATATTAGGAAGCATACATTCACCCAAAAAATTAATGAGCGAAAGAATGATAACTTACTTCACTCTATCAAAATTTAGACCCATTCGTTTACCACCATCCTGTCCTATAAATACACAAAAAAAAAAAGAAAAACATATGAAAATCCAATTTCTCATAATAAAAAATCACAAAACAACAAAGAAAAACACCAAATAAATGTTGAGAAGTACAAATATGACTAGCAAATTTATCAAGTCGAATTAGCTCCTCGAAGCCTTATCCATTCTCAAGTCCCAACATTCCTTATAGATTGAACAAGAATTCTAGCCCAGTCACTCAGTTCATTTAAGATGGAGAGGCAAACCTGATAAATAGTTGTCTATCATTTTTTTCCTCTTGGAATTCAATAAAGACAAACCTTCAACCAATATTGGACAAAATAGAATTGAAGCTTAGCAGATGGTGACAATAGTTCAGCTCTTGTGCTGGACACTTAACCTTGAGATAGTCAGCAACCTCAGCATTCTAAATTACTACTTACTTTTTTATTCACTCTTCTGTTAATTCTATAATTAACCAGCACAACATAAATTTCCTGGGAGGAGGTATTCAAATCAAAACAGTAGAGTTAATGTAATAGTGGAGAAAGGTGATCAATCAGTCTCTTTTTGGGGACTCGTATTCAAGAACCAACTACCATCAACATAGACTTCATGGTAAAGCTAGACTAGAGAACTCATCAGGAGGAACATAAATGCAGCTAGGTCTACCAGGAGAAGTGCCTTAGAAACAATTCATTCTTTGGCCTCAATAGTTGTCAAGGCGACGCCTAGGCGACAAGGCGCCCTTTGAGGCTCGCCTTGCCTAATCGCCAAGCAATTTTGTACTATGTATTGTAAAATAATTTTTTATTCTTTATTTTTTGACATTATAATTATAAAATAGGCACTATTAAACTAAAATATTCATTTTTTATGTTTATATACTAATTTGTTTTTATTATTTTCTTATTTGTTAGGATTTAATCAATACAAACATTGCTAAATGCTGTATTGAACCCTCAAAGACTTCAAAACCTGAACCAATAAGTAAGGAAGAACTTAAAATTGTCTAATCAACACATTTTCTATACTTTAACATGAACTCTAGACTTTTCTTATGAAAGTTATGAATAATTATTAAGGAAATATGGCTATGGTACCGAGGAAACTACCCTATGATCTACATTTTCTATATAAAAAAATCCATCACCTAGGCGCCCCCCTAACTAAGGGTGAGCAAAAAAACCGAAAAACCGAATTGACCGAGAAAACCGACTGAAATCGAACTAAAAAATCGGTTAACCAAACCGGTCAGTTCGGTTTCGATTAACCATTTAAAAAACCGGCGGTTAACCGAACCGACCGATATATATAGTAATATTATTTATATAGTATTATATATTATATATTTTATTTTTTTTGAAAATCAAACTGAAAAGTTTCAAAAAAAAAGCTGAAAGTCTCAAACTGTTGACTGGTGACTACTAGTCTGCCTTTTCGAAAATCAAAATTTTCAGCTTCTCTTTTTCTCTCGGTCTCTTTGGTTAATCTGTTGACTTGACTCGAAAAAGAAGATTAAAGTAGTTTACACTATCAAAACATGGAAATAGGTCAGAAAAAGAAGGCATTACTTCTTTCCATTTGTATATCCTGGATCTTCAAAACCCACCACCCACCTCCATCTTCACTAATTTAATCTTCACTCGTCACGTGTGATGGGATAATTAACTCTCAGTCTCTCTTCTCGGCTTATCATCTGTTATCTCTGTCGCGTAGCCCGCGCCAATCACCAGCACCAAGCGGCAATGCCGGTCACCGCCTTGCCGATAGTTTTCAGTTTTCTTCTCAGCTTCTCGCCTGTCATCTCCGTTGCGTGGCCTGCGCTAACTACCAGCACCAAGCGGCAACGTCGGTCGTGGCTCTGCCATCATCTCTGTAGTCTGTATCTCCCTTCTCTCTCTCTCTCATCTCCCCTCTCTGCAGCTCCTCCAAACGCCACCTCAAGCTCTCACCGCAATAGCCTACAAGAACCTCTGAAAATAACTTTGTTAGAAGCGTCATGACTCGATGCAAGATCTGAACTGATGGTCAGCACCGACAGGAGAATAATAGATGGCCAGCACCGACAGAAACCACCGGTCCACCAACAGTTTTAGATTTTTTTTATTTTAAGTGCATAAAAAACCGAAAAACTGCCCGCGGTTAACCGGTCCACCAGTGAACCAATTGAACCGGTTAACCAATTGAATCGGTTCAGTTTTGGTTTGGGTATTTAAAAAACTGATCAAATCGGTTCGGTTTGAAAAAATACCCCACGATTCGGTTAACCGAACCATGAGCACCCCTACCCCTAACGCCCAGCCTCGCCTTGGCGCCTTGAAAATTATCCTCACACCAAACAATCACAATCATGAGCCTGGGAAAGTATAATGTACCATAGAGATAACTTTGCATGCAGACTCCCATGGGGTGGTGGGCAATAGGCAATAGGGGTGCAACTTGAGCAGGCATTGCATTTTGTTAAATTTGAATGAACCCAACCCAGAAGTCTGGGCCTGATGTAGTGTAAATTCTTCAAATTGGTACCCAACTTGCATTGACCCTAACAGACAATTAAAAAGCTGCTCCAAAGAACCTTGATTCCTTATTTATTTAAACACCAAAAAGCTCTACAACAATATGGATCAAAGTCTTAAAATGGCTAATTAGATTACTCAATATCATTAACTGAATGCTTTTTTTCTTGTTGTTGTTAAATGAGCTACACAACAGGGGAAATTATAGTTATTAGGGGTATTTATGTAAAAAACACCCCAAAAAGCAAAAAAAATAGTCGTTGGGGACCCCCCAATGGATATATTCTTAGTGGGCCAGAGTAGCTCATAGCGGGCCATGTCATGCCGTGTTATGCCGGCTCGTGGGCCTCAAAACCAAAGCTAGCACAACTGGGGGATTTAGGCCAAGCCACAGCATGGCCCAATTATTACAGTGGCCAAGCCAAGCCCAGCAAGGCCCACATATCATGTCAGCCCATGGGCAGCACAGGCCACTTTACAGTTCTAAGAAATACCCTTGTCCCTTTATTAAACCATGATTCCAAATCAAGCTTTATTATTAGCCAATACCTATGACCTCAAGTTTGCTTCCTTCCTTGATCTAAACCCTCAAAATGAGCCAAATCATCCAAGTTTCTTGTCTGAAATGCATCCTTGAGATTAGATACCTTGTCTATCTGTCACCCCAACAGTTGCTTAAAAACCGCCTAAAAATTGCTTGAACACCCTCTCAAACACCCTAACCCTTCTATGATCCACGAAACCCTACCTTTAAACTCCAAACACCTTGAATCCCACTGTAGGTTGGGTAAGGCTTGGGTGTAAGTGGTCTCTTTGAAAGACAGAGAGAGGCCAGTGAGTAGGGAAATAGGCTTTTGGGGCTAAGGATGCTGAGAAAGAGTGCTTGAGTACTGGATGCCAAATGTTGAGCGTCAAATGATGAATTTCAATACGAGGAGGATCTCTATTTATGGGGGAGATCCCAAGATCCCAAAAGGTAGGAGATAAAGGTGCTTGTCTCCTATCAGGAAAGGGAATATTGGATTTGTTGTTAATCATTAAGTGTGCCATTGGGGTTTCACCATGTGTCTCATGAGGATTTTCCTAAGGATCGGCTTTCCTTCCCCTCAAGATCCCTCATTGTTCACATGTGCTACTACCTCTCGTGCACCTTATTTAATTGGCGTGGCAATTATGACGTCATTGCCCAGCGGGCAACGTTTTGTTAACCCTATATGGCGCTCTGCCACGTCTTTTGAAGGGCTATGGGTCTATTGCGGATTTGGGCATGTGTGGTTCTCTCGCCAAAGGGCTCAGCCCGGGTTCCTCCTAACTCAAGTCGCAAATGGACTTGTAGGCGGGCAGCGAACCACGAGTTTATCGCATTGGGAAAGTTGACTGTGGGTTACCCGCATGCAACCCCGTGGTGTTAATTTAGTGTTTGATGTTCTCTGAGGGTCTGAGCGGACACTATATACCTACACCCCCACACATCAAATTTCATCCTAAAACAACCTTACTTCCCCCTTTATTAAACCAAAATTCCATTTCAATCCTTCCCATTTGCCGAAACCCCCTATTTCAAAATTTTCCATCATGACACATCACCTAGTCATCTGACCCTACCATTAGATTCCAAATCCCCTAAAACCCTACCTACCAAATTTCACTTTAAAATTCCCTCGCTTGACCCTTGATTAAACCAAGATTCCATTTCAGACTCTCACTAGCCAATACCATTCACCCATTAAATCTCCATCCACTTAGCATTCTTAGACTAACCTGATGACACCACCAAATCTAGAATCCTCAAAAATGTGGGCCCACCAAAATTTTCCCAAGAATACTACCATTCATCCCTCTATTTGAAAAGATTCCATTTCTTGAATTTTGATTGGTCAACCAATTAGGACTACCTTGCACTCTCTATATGCCATAACTTTTCTCTTTTACCCAAAACACCCTAAATACGCTACCTTCCAATCTTAAACCCTAAAGTGACCTTACTTTTCCTAAACCATTCCAATCTTACCCTCATACCCCTAAAGTATGAAGACAAAATTACCCCATAAATCCTTCCTCTCCAAATTACCCTTACCTCATACCTACCTAGACGCTTTTACCCTCTAACCTTTTTAACTCAACCTAGTTTGTCCCCAACAGATTCTTATAAATAGGAGGGGCACCTAGGAGAAGCATCAAACAAAGACATACATAAGCCCCCACTCTCGTTAACATGGCCGTGTTGCCCCTTTCCCCACCTCCCTCCTCTCTTGTTACCCACACCATTGCCTCTAATCTCCTTCCCTCTTTTCCCATTTTTTTTTCTCTTGCAACACTCTCACAAAACATCTAGCCCTAACACAAGGACACCTCCCAATTCAATAGATGAAAAGAGATGCTAACTCTTTTGCTGATACTTTGGCTAAACAAGGGGTGAGAAGAAACCGACTATTTTGGGCATTGTTGTAATATGAGTTCAGTATGGGAGAGATAAGAGAGTTTATCTCTCCCTTTCTACATATTTGTACCTTTTTCTTATTTTAATGAATCTAATTCAGTTATTGATTTAAAAAAAAGGATGCCTCACAACTTGCAGGTAAATTCCAGAGGAAGTTCTAAGTTTCCTGTTGTTTTCTTTTTTTTTTTTTCTTTTCTTTGCTGCATATTTGCATTTTTGGCCTCTTCAATATGAGGATTGCTCATGCAGGACGCAGGGCTTGCTTTGTTCCTACTATCCTTTCTATCTCTGTAAGATTTGGATTCAGAGAAGCTGGAAAGGGGTACCCAAGAACCACCAGTCTGCTAGATTCCACACTGAAACCAAAGCAAGGAAGGATTGTAGGTAGCAGTCCATTTTCCTCCCAATGGCATGAACATGCTTTTCTTTCTTTTTTGTTTTGGTTAAAATATTGTTTGAGGCTCTATTCAAGAAAGCTTAGATCATAAATGGGGGGTTTACCGTGTTTGGGGGAGAACCCTTTCTCATCCCCAGATTAAAACCCCAGGACCTTCTTTGTAAGGGCAAACTAGTTTGGGTACTCACTCACCTCCCCTAAACGGTGAGTGGTGATTCTACCTTTTCATGAACTGGAAAGCCAGATTTTGAGTTGTCACACTATGCAATGTCTGAGTGCTGGGAAATTCTTAGTCCTCCCCATCTTATCTTTGGGAATCCTTCATCAAAGGATTCCACACCTTTCTGTTCACCAAATTTAACCCCCAAAATTGAAACCTAGTGGAGAAAATTGCTGCCACTTTCTTTATGTTCATTTGGTTTACAAAGAATGGACTTATTTTCAGAAAAGAACTTGAATTCACCCCTCTTCTTTTTTTTCTTTTTCTTTTTCTGTTTTTTTTTTTTTTTTTTTGATGGGCAAACAGGAGATGGTTCAGTCTGTGACAAAGGTAGAAACTTTATATGACCATTTACAAACACAGCACTTCCGTAGAAATGCCAACTCAATATTCAAATGCTGGCAATGGAGGTGGTGTAGAAATGCCAACAGAACAGGAGCTGTCACAAACACAGCACTTCCGTAGAACATCAAAACCTCATTTATGATTGCTTGGATAAGTTTCTGGAATGGACTATAGGCACTTAGGCAGGGTTATATATCAGTAGATCATCTAGTCAGATAGGACATTGCTCAATCTGATTATGTATGGGTAGCACCTTTGAATTTTCTAGATCATTTACTGTGGGAGGATCTAAAACATCATCCCCATCCTCTTTTTGTATCCATTATCCACCAAAAGTCACATCTTTAAAAAAATGGAAATATATAAATCTATGAACTAGATATTTAACGGATGGGTAAGAATGAAACAAAACCAATATACAGAAAAGAATACCAAAGGCAAGTTTTTATGAAGTAAAAATAAATGAATGGAAGATGATTTAACAGGTGGTCCTGACCAATCTAAAATCAACATTAGGAAAAGTTAAAAAAATGAAACCACATTATTGAAAAAAAAAAAGATAGATCAGTAAAATACAAGTTGAACATATGATTTTATTTGTTGATTACAAATACATAGGGATAAAGTGAAATATTATACCCAAGCCTACCTGGTAATGGATTGTAGTAACCTAAAACTTCCAAATGCTTCCCATCTCTAGGAGATCTGCTATTGGCAGCCATAACTCGATAAAATGGTTTGTTTTTGCACCCAAACCTTGATAATCGAAGCCTAACAACCATTTTAGGGCTTGATTCCTTTCTTCTTTAACTATCTCACAAACTTCTGTATATCTGCAAATGCAGAAAAAGAAGTACAATAGAGAAACTTTCAGGATGCCATTTGACAGATTTTTGCATCTTTTCTAATCAAAGTTTACAACATAAAAGCAAAAGTAAATAAACAGGGGGTTTCAGCTGAGCAGATACATAACTTCTATTGGGTTTCCATTGTTGAACAAGACTGTCCTATTAGATGCCTTTAAGGAAAAAAATGCACTTGGTTGTGCAAAATAATCACAGTAGCAAATTGAAATTTCTATTGTCCATGGGTTTAAAGTGAGCAAATGTCTATCATGAAAATAGGTAATCCAACACCAATGTGAAATCGAGTAAAGTGAATTTTTGGAATTCATGTGGGAATCCAGATGAATGAGGAAAAGGTCTGCATTAGAATCCCCATCATTTAAAATAAAATTATTGCCTAGATGGCAAGCAGTATTGTTGGAGTTCACTATATATATATATATATATATTGGATAAATAGTTCACTATATATATATATATATATATATATATATATATTGATTATATTCTAATTGCACTTGTTTGGATGAAACTAAAGTGTACACTGGGATCTAGAAGGGTTGGTGTCCAAACAATATGTATAGGTTTAAACTGTACACTGGGATAAATCTAAAGTCCATACGGTATGTATCATCCTTATCAGGGAAGGAAAAAAAAAAACTACAAGGCTACCCAAAAAAAAAAATGAATCTACAAGGGTTGGTGTCCATGCATGTCTAACATGGTATGACACCCATTTTAAGTGTTCACATAACATAAAAGTGAAGCTTTTTAGCAGCAGAACACAGGAAGCCAAGAGGCCCCACTGCAAGCTGCTAAGCAAGGCAAAAGCAAGTTGCCAACAACCAGATTCAGGGGGGCAATCAGTTCAATTCAAAGACAAGAATCAATCCAAATTCTGTCCACAAAACACTATTTAAAAAAGAAACAAAAATCAGCACCAAGATGCCAAAATTTAAGCTTCCTCCAGACTTAAGACACCAAACAAAACCTAAAACATAATCCACAAAGCCCAAGTAGTCAAAATTTCTGCCATCAATATCCTGAAAATAATTAAGGCTTAAACAATGACACCTGCTCTTCTTGCCAAAACCAAGTCAATAATACTCAGTTTGCAAAACTGGACTTCTTCTTTTAAAAAAAAATGGGAGTAAAATGACAGTTAATGAAGGAGAACTGGAGAAGAACAGAGTAGTCATCCAACAAACTAAAGCTTTAAAGATCAATTACATGGAATGATTGGGAGAGCATTTGTCAGCAAACTGTATTTGAAACTGATTTTCTTTTGGTTACTAATGACATTTAGGCAAAATGTTCCTCTCCACTCAACTCAACGCAAAAAAGCCTTATCCTAACTATATGGGGTCAGCTACACGAATCATATTTCGCTATTCCACTCCATGAAGAGCATATTTTAAGAAAAATCGTTTAAAACAAAGACTATAGCAAATTCATCGAAGAACAATCAAGGTGACACTTACAAAAGGCAAGATAAATTCCTTGGTTTTCATAATTAACTTGTCTAAGAAAGTGAAAAAGGAAGCCACCAAGAATGGCGAAACCCTTATTTAATCATCATAACAAAAGCTCAACTGTTCTTAAATAATCTATTATATTTTAAGTCCTAAGAAAACATAACCGAAATGCTGATCAATAACCGTAATGCTTTCAGTCACGCCAACTAATGACCATCTGAACGAGCCTTTGTGCCGTTACAGAAATGCAAAACAGGATCTAGAATGCGACCTCTTTTTATATTTGTTAAAAAAGAAAGAATCCTTGAAATTTTCCTTGGCCGAGCTGGTTTCGCCAGAGAAGGTGAGGATTGCCCATGGTTGAAATAAGACCCAAGGATGAAAGGAAGCTTACCTTGATAGTTTCTCTTTCGCTGATACCCGTCGTCGTCTCGCCGGCGAGGAAGTACGGGAAATTTTGAAGGAAAACGAGCGAGAGAGAGAGAGGGGGGGGGGGAGAGTGTTTGGGTTTTTGGCGACGACCCTGCAACTAATACAACGCACCCAACTCCAACAGACCAACTGACGACTGCAGCTGCACATTGGGAACATCTCCTTTATCGTTAATGGGAAGTGTTCCCGATATGCGGTTGTAGTGCTGGTTTGGAAACTGTTAGGTCGGGATGGTAAATTAGGATCTCCTGCCAAAAAAAATACGTTCCAACACCCTACCAATTTGATCTCACACCACACATCTCTCTATTAAATAGGGCCCCACCATAAAAGAGAGATTTGCCATTAGACCTATTCATGGGCCAGGTAACCCGATGGACCGGTCCAGCCTGATGTAAGTCAGACCTGGACAGGATTTCAGGCCCATAGGCTAAGCACGGGCCTAAAACACTGGGCCTAACCTTTTTTTTGGCCAATCAAACTTGATAATGTATTAGATAATAAAAATATATTTTGTAATAAAATATATATAATATATTTTTTCTTTATTATTCTTCTCTTTTTTTAATTAATAGTGAGATCTTTCATTATTTTTTAGGTTTTGTTGTCTTATAATATAAAATACTTTTTATTGAATAAAAAAGAAAAAAAAAATCTTTTCCAATTTTCTAGCTGAGCTCGGGCTCGGGCCTGAATATATTCTATTAATTCAGGGGCAAAGCCCAGCCCAAACTCAGCCTGGCCCAGCCCATTAATAGGTCTACCTGTCATTTATGAGATGTGCAGAGTCAAATGATGTTGGTAGGGTGTTGGAACACATTTTTTATGGCAGGTGATTTAGACTCTTTCCCTACCCTTGTGGGATCCATCCCAAATGGGGTAGGGATAGGAATGACTTTTCCCAACAAGTACATGGATCGGTAAATTTTCATTCTCCGTTATATATATGTATATATATTAATATTTTTTAAAATATGATGAAAGATGTTTAAATATATTTGAATCTTATAGTATTAATTACTTCTTCTTTTTTAATCTTTTAAATCAAATAAAAACAAAACCCAAAGTGATTAACGTCATAAAAAATCATGGGGATTGGGGATCCCCACAGGAATGGGGATAACCTTGTCCCCGCTAACAAGGATGGGGATAGGGATTTTCGTCGGGATGGGGTTGGGGAGTGACCCCTCTGCCCCATTACCATCCCTAATGTTGGGAGCATTATATTGGTAGCATATCTGAACTTGGAATCCAATGGGAATGTCTCCTATGATTTCAGCAAACATATATGGAAGATATTCCCAATGTGTGGTTAAATGCTGTGTGGCAGAGTTTTTGCTTGCAAGAGATCTAGGTTTGATTTTTTGACACTATAATCTATAATCTATGGGCTTGGTTTGGACCACTAAACTGAACCGACCCCAACTAAAATTAGCACTTTGATTTGGTCTAGACTTTGAAATGGTTTGAAATTCTTTTATATTTAGGTTTATAACTTAGGTTCGTTCTTTGAATTTTATAAACCAAACCAAATTGCGTGTAATAATAAACTCTTAAAACTACATCTGATGTTCAATAGAATTCACTTTAGGGTCTTCAAATATTCATTCTAACCAAATTTAATGTTTACATAGCATATTAATTATGATGATTTAAAACTATGATAACTAAAAGATTTTTGTTATTTATTTATGCATAGATGTTGTTTGGGCTTTCTAAAGAGTTAAGCCAACAAAATGGTCCAAAACATATTAGAAACCTCACCAAACCATAATAAAAATGATTTAATCTGGTTTCTTTCCATATAAAATAGTTTGATTTGGTCTGATTTATTCTGGTTTGGTTTCCAAATCAAAATAGTTTTGTTTGGTCTGAAAAATTCTCAGACCATATTTTATAGGCTTGATTTCAGATCTTTTCCAAATTGCATTCAACTCAACCGTGAATACCCCTATTACCCATAATTTTAGGCTATGTTTGGTTTGAAGGAAAAGGTAGGGAAAGATAGGGAATCCAATGCAAGGTTTGTAAAGGTTTCCCTTCATTTCTGTACATGTTCCTTCAAACCAAACATAGCCTTAACAATCTGAATTTAGCTGACTCATGTCAGGATGCAATCCAGCCAAGTTAGCCCAAAGGTTGGAGGTTGTGTTATGATTCAAAAATATTAAACCCGACTTAATTGAGTTGAAGTTATATATGCATACTCACATGTATGTATGTATGTATGTATATTTTTTGAGGTTTAATCTTCAAGCTTCAGTTCATCAGTACATATGTATGAGTAAATGAGAAGAATTTGTATTTCGGTTCATTTTTGCTTCAAGTTTTATTTTATTTCATTCTGATGCATACAATCAAACATAAGGGTGCAAGTTAGGTGGACTGGATCAGGTTTCAATGCAACTCAAGCCCGCTCCAACTCTTCAACATGAGCCCAGCCTGCACTAAAATTTGATATATTAGGGTTGTGCCTGGGCTCACCCAAATTGCACCTCTAATCAAATCAAGACAAAAGCTGAAACAAAGATACCAGAATTTACAGTCCCATACCTTTGCACTTTTTTTTTTTTTTTAGTAAATAGGAGATAAGCAGCTTTTCATTAAAAAAAAAAAGCAATTAGGGGGGATACATGTCTTCATAAGAGATTGACCAAAACGGTCCAAACCAACGGGGGAAAAGTAACAACTCCATGCCACTACCTCCTAAAGTCCTCACAGCATTTGCAATGGCATGAGCCAGACGGTCTGCCCTCCAGTTACAATGCTGGAAAGTTACATGAGTAAACCATCGAGAAAGGCTACCAATGTCCGACCACAATGCATGTAGGGGGGAGAACCTGTGTTCTGTTGGCGCTGCTATAATCTCTATTGCTTGAAGAGAATAAGACTGCAAAATGCACCTCTGAATGCCTTGATTAATTGGTTCCTCACATCCGAGTCTTATGGCTCTTGTTTCTGCGTCTAGGACTGAAGTACACCAGAT